TTTCCATTGGACATTCTTTCCTGCTTTGTCGAAGATTAGTTGACCATAGAGTTGAGGGTCCATTTCTGAGTTCTCTGTTGTGTTCCATTGATCTATGTACCACCTTGATGATTACAGCTTGCCTTTTATAATTAGAAATAAGACAAAGATACTTGCTAATACTATAGTTCTCAGTATTATTTTGGAAGTTATAGCAAATGTAGTAAGGCCGTTAAAATAAATAACACATAAATATTGAAGAGTAAAAGCCAAAATTATTATAGTATTTTAAGGTAATAAGGTTTTCTACAGAGAAAGCCTAAAAGATCACTTGGAAAATGATTTCAGTTGAGAGAGACTCAGTGCTCAGTAAGTTGACTAGCTTCAAGATAAGTTACCTGGGCTCTCTGAACAGAGCTGAATAGTTTATTAACATTTATAAATGATTTGAATAAGTGGGAAGATTCAGTGTTGTAGATAATTTAAATATCCTGAGATTATCTAAATAGTTAATGTAATCAACACATTTGTTCATTTAACAAATATGTGTTGAGCGTCAGTATATCCAGATGAATGTTCTAAGTGCTGGGTATATAGCTATACATGGAAATATAAGAATCCCTTCTCTCCTGGAACTTACAATCTAATCAGTGGACATAGAGAAAGAAGCAGGAATATAGTATGTCAGGGTGTTGATAATCCCATCAAAATTTTCATAGGATTATCTTTAGAATCTTACTCAATATTTTTTTAAGATTTTATTTATTTATTTTTTAGCTATAACAAGTTGGGGGAGGGGGAGAGGAAGACAGTGACACAGAATCCCAAGCAGACTGCATGCTGAGCATAGAGCCTGACAGAACCCTGAGATCATGCATGATCTGAGTGGAAATCAAGAGTTAGAGTCTTAACCGACTGAGCTACCCAGGTTCCCCACACAATAAAGTTCATCTATATCAATACCTGTGACAAGATGGCTAAAATAACTTGTTAAAAATTAATTGCCCTATTGGATATTTAATTAAAATATAGAAATTAAATCATTATGTTATAGTTGCAAAATAGATCAATGGGACAAAATATAGAGGGTCCAGAAACATATATCTATATCTATATAGCTATTATATGTCCTGGCTGATGAAGACAGTATTTTTTTTTAATTTAAAAATTTTTTTTATTTATGAGGGAGAGTGGGGGGTTGCCGGGGGTGTGTGGGGAGGAGCAGAGTGAGAGGGACAAGCAGACTCTGAGTGGAGCAGGGATCCTGACTTAGGGCTTGATCTCATGACCCTGAGATCATGACCTGAGCTGAAACCAAGAGTCGGATGCTTAACCGACTGAGCCACACAGGCACCCCCTGATTAAGACAGTATCAATGTATATACCAACAAGGTTGAAAGTGGTTCTAGGAGTGATGATTTCAATTTTCTTCTTACAGTTTAGAAAGAATATTTAGACATTTCTGAGGTGGAGTACCTATCCTTTTAATAATCAGAGTGGTAACAGTGAAGCTCTTTTTAAGGGAGGAGGTGGAGGGAAGAAGATTGGAACAGAGGCCTTGGTTTTAGGGGCCCTAGGTCTGCCATAACTTGTGGCCCTTCTCGGGGGCCTGAAAGTAAGTGGAACCTGAGTGTTGGCTCTATTGGGATCTGCCACACTTGGGGTCCCCTCCAACGAAACTCTGGATGCACTCTTCATGGCATCATGAAGTTTTGTGCCAACATCACTGGCGAGGACTTTATAGAGCTCTTTATTCATATCAGTGGCACCATATCAAAGCTGGTGAGAGTCTTTGTGCTCCACGTGTTCCAAGACAAGCCTGTGCTTTAGGCCTGATGACTCCAGGGTCATTTGTGATGCGAGAGTGTGGTATGAGGTGAGGCAGGGAGACTTCTTCCACCACTTTCACATGGAAGATGTTTCAGAAGAGTTAAAGGAGATTTATTTAGAGCTGACATCTGAGCATTTGTTCGGAATAGCAAGAAGCACTGGGAGGAATGCCTCTTACCTTGAAGCCCCAGTTGACCAACAAGTGGCATCCCCACCTCACTGTGTCTGTGGAGCTGTCATTGCCCACAGGTCGAACTCCTGTGGTGGTACTTGATCCATTTGATGGGCCTGTAAGGGTACTTCCCCCAAGGACTTGGGAAGATTTCCCAGAGCCTGGTGTGAAAGCCTGTGATGTTAGTGTTTATCTTCTGGCTTTGAAGACTCAAGAGCAGTGTAGAAAGGATAGCACTTGGGCGATCAAGTGCTGGTTGAAACAAATCTAAATGGCAAAATGAACTTCAGTGTAGAAACTGATGTCTTGTCTATTTAAAAGTTTGGTGTTTTTTTTTTTTTTTTTGAAATCTTCCAAAGTCTGCTCAGGATATGCCTCAAGACAGAAACCTGGAGAACATGGTGCAAGTGCTAGTAGAGAGTAGGAAGCTTCTGCAGTTTTTCGAGGGACAGCAAATAAATCCTGTAACAGTCTTATGCAATGTTTTGAGCAATACTCTTCTTCATCTTGTTTTAGTTCGTGAAGATGTCTCTCTTCAGTGTTTCATTCCTGCCTCATAAAAATTCAAGCAGCCTGTGTGTGTGTATATATATATATATATATATATACATATTTTTTTTTTTTTTTGGTAAAGCTTATGGTCTTTTCAAAACTGAAACAGACCCCAAGTTAATTGGCTTGCAAGTCTGCACCCTCACTAGCCTATATGGAATGTACATTTTGCTGAGCTCTTCTTCCTTTGCAAAGATCTTATTTAAAAAATCATTGGTGAAAGAATTGGATAGTTCATTTGTATGTTTATTGACTTTGTCAGTTTTTTTCATACTTTTTAAGATGGCAACAAGAAAAAGACTTTCTACTTTAACTTTTTTTGGGGAAAAAGGATTGTAACAAAATAAAAACGTTGAATTTCTGAAACAGTGGATCAGTTTTTATTATAAAATGCTACTGTGTGAAATGGGAACTTCATTCCTTTAAAACAAGTATAATTTTGTGAGGGACTTTTCTTATTTTAGAGAGCTTAATATGCTATCTGAAAGATATAAGGTATTTAGCATTTGTGCATATTGCATAGTTTTTGGTAAGCTGTGTTTTGTCAAAGTATATATTCATGGTTTTAGATTTATCATCTACAGAGCTTGAATTGGTTATTTATTAGGTTCACTGATAATGCATCTTATTCACAAGGATTCAAGGAAATAGTCAATTCATGTGGACTAGGATTTTTCTTACGGGTAACTTTTATGTAAACCAAGTTTCCATTTTTTCCCTATAGTATTATGTTATTCTGTTTAGAAAATGATTCTTAATGTTTCATTATTTTGAGAAGAGGAAGGAGGGGTTATAAAGGCCTGGTACAGTGATTAGAGGGAAGGTTCATATTCTTTCATATTAAATTTTAGTTTTTTTAATGGCTTATGCAATAAGAGCCATTAACCTGACAGCCTTCATTTTTTGCAGACTCAGTAAATTCTCATGACTACATTTTAATCAGTAATGAATAATTTCCTACTGGATTTGGTGATAAAGTGCTTCAATTTGCTAATTTATTTTGTTTTGCTGATTTCTAAATTCCATTCATGGTGTTGTGGAAAGAACACAGAAACATGAGACCTAGGCAAGTCACTTGAACTCTGGCTCTTTAAGATCTCTTTCAGTTTAAATAGATTACATTTCAGTACTCTGAAGGTTTCAATATAGGAAGATTAAACAGTTGTTTTCAAAAGTATTTCAAACATATTTTAAAATTATTAGCACATAACTATTTCAGAATTATAGCTTAAGTTTTTTTTCTAACTTCTGAGTTATACACAATTGCTTTGTGAATATTTTCAAAGCTGTTTGTAAAGATTGTTTTTTTAAAAGTGATTTTTAAATGTTTTAAAAATCCCCCACTCTCATCAGCATTTTTGTACACTTTAAATGAAAGATGAAAATGCAAAACGAATACTTTAACTCAGTGAGAAAATTATAAGATATGCATACTTTTTTTTTCTGTGCATAACACAAAAATGACTTACCATGCTTGTTTATAGTATCCTTTCCAATTTTTTCTTTGGTTTATTAATTATACGAGAATTTTCAAGCTGTAGTAAAAGTCTTCCTTTTTACCTATTTCATCACCTCTCCTCTCTTCCCTCAGTCTCTCTCTTCCTCTGTCTCTGCCTTTGTTTCTGTTTCTATTCCCTATATTAAGTAAAACCAGGGAAATGAAGAAAACCTGTTGTTTGTTTTGGAAAATAAATAATTGTGCATTTTAATCTATGGTGAGTTATTATAATGGTTAACTTTTAATAATTCATTAACAGAAAGTATCTATAAAAGTTTTTTAGCCTGGTCTTTGAAATGTAACTTTTGAAAATGAGAGGGGTTATTTACTCCTCTACTTAACCTACAGATATGTTGCTATTAAAAAAAAATTATTAGGCCATCTCATACTGTAACATCTAAATATAAGATCTTAAAAATTCAGATTCTTTTAATGATCTAGTAAAGATTGTTTATAATGAATACAAAAATTTTATAATAATTATATCAATAATTATATTGATATAATTATATTCAATTATATAATTATATAATATATTTGATTATATTTATTTATATTTAATTATATAATATATAATTATATATAAATAAATAATAACATGTTCTTATTATAGTTTAGTTTAATTGTGAAAAGCTATGGACTGCCAGTTTCTAGTCTTACATTAGTAATTGAATTTAAAAGCCTGGTCTTATAAGTAAGATTTTCATAGAATCAAGAATTAAAAGGGCTTTAGGGATGATCTCATCTAAACACCTTATTTATAGATGAGAAAACAGTTTCAGAGAGCATAAATGTAACTAAGGGTTTTTAATTGTTAATGCCAGAACCCATTTTAGAACCCAGATCTCCAGACTATTTATAGACGTTAAATTTTTGAGCTTGGTCTGTCAAGACTTAATTCAGAGACTTACAGCTTGGATATACTTTTGTTTATTAAAATATATCTAGATCACCATGTGAATCTATTCCTTACCTAAAAAGATAAAATTTAAATGAAAAAAGTCCAAAACATGTTATAAGCCATTGTTATATCATCCTTGTGTGAAGATATCCTTTGTTCTTGCATGTAGGAAGGAATTTCTTTGCCACAAAATAATTCCCTGGAAGACCAAAACCTCACATTTAAAAATCAAAGCATCAAGTTTAGAAATTATTCCAGCTTCTTTTTCTTTTTTTTAGAGAAACACTACTAAGCAAGAAAACATGCCTTTATGTTTCACTGTATCTTCAGAAAATAAATCAGTGATGAAATGTATTTAAAGTGATTACTTATACCCATAAATGTGTAGTTTTTATTGTCTCCCTAAATATCATTTGCTAAAAACTATACTGGCTTATTTATATGACACACTTGTACTATTTCTTTTTATTCCACTACTAAAAATGTCAGTCATGAATATACTATGAATGATATATACTTACTTATGTATAAGTCTACTATACCAATATCACAAGAGATCAGGCAAGTATTTATTAGTGGTTAATTTCTATAAAGGTCCTCCTAGTTTTGTTTATCCCCATACAGGTCTAGGTAGTAGAAATTAATCTGAGTCTGGAGACACATCAGAATTAGGATTCCTTTTTAAGCAAACTTGTAACCCTGTTTGGTAACTGACAGGATATGGTATATACAGTTCTTAGGCTAAGAGTCAGTATATCATAATTTGCAGCCCATTTACATATACCTGTGAATATATGTGAAATTCCAAATAGATACTCCAGTACTGTCAACCTTTATCATTTGCCCATTTGTGTCATTTAATCCTGTATTTATTATTAGTGTACTTGTGCAAGGATATTGCCTAATAATAATGGCTTATTTTGTATCTGCAATTATTTTCCTTATGTGAGTAATAATAGCTACTTTTTGTTTCTATCATTTTGCTTTCAAAAGATAAAATTAGCTTGTGGTGTGTGTACTTTTAGGATAGGTTTATTCACTTTATACCTTAACCTCTTTCATGATCTTAAATGGCTGTGTAATATAAAGACAATATTGTTTTAATTAAATAAGGTTTATGACAGGCAAAGTCAAACTTTTGTTAACCTCTGCTTAGTATATTTACATAAGAAAGACCTTAGGACAAATTTTCATAGACTACTAGTTAATATTGCACTTGGAAAATCTTGGTGAGGCCAATTTGTAGGCACTTAATGACAACTATAGATGAGAATTTTCCTTTAAAAATATCCCTGTTAGCATGGGTTGTGAAACAAAATGTTCAGATACAAATTGTTTTCTTAAGGCTTAGACTCTTTCCTGAGAGTGATAAGAGATTATTTGTGATGCTAAACATAACAGAAAGTAGGGTATTTCTAATTAGAGGTGGGTTGAAAAGAGACATCTCTTTCCATAATTCACTCCACAAATAATTACTGAGTACATACTATGTGGTAGGCACTGTTGTATGTGTTTTGGACATTGTAGTGTAAAAAGTAGATATTCTTATATTTCTAAATTAAATGGCTTAATGGTCTTCCTGAGATAATGGTTTGCCTGTGTTTTGGGACATACCACTAATTTTTATATATGAATTGATATAATGAATGCTGGATTTTCAGCTGCCTCTGATTTCTATGTCTGGAACACAGCTGTATTCCTCAATCATAAATAAGAAAATAGATCATACTTTTTGATTCATGACTATCAGTTGTGGCCCAGACATTACCTATTGTTACCAAACTTTGAGGGTAACATAGTTAAGATTATGATCATGCTCTCAAAATGGATTTGAAATACTGGGAGTAGATTGGAAATGCCCTGTCCTAGGTTTTTTTGTGTGTTTTTTTTTAAACTAGAGGTATTCTAATTTCAATTCTGTTTCACACCAGGATGAGCATACATACCTCAGTCATATAGGAAACAACTAAGGTTCTCAGAATGTGGGCTATCAGATACAAAAATGACCTCATAGTATGTAGGGTGATGTAAAGAGTGATAATTAGACTCCTATGTGTCAGGAAACCAAGGATCTGGTCTGTTTTATAAATAATTAGGTGTGTGACCTTGAAAAAATCATTTAACATCTCTGGGTTACATTTTCTTCAGATGAGGAATCTAGACATTAATTAGATCAAGTCTCTTGGCTTTGATTCTGTGGAATACTGGCATGTCCCTCTACTGATAATCAGCACCACCATGTGAAAGGTAGCTGACAGTTTAATATTTTATTAATCACCTTTTCAGTAATATTTTTTTTAAGATTTTATTTATTTGACAGAGAGACAGTGAGAGAGGGAACATAAGCAGGAGGAGTGGGAGAGGGAGAAGCAGGCTTCCTGCTGAGCAGAGAGCCTGATGTGGGGCTCGATCCCAGGATCCTGGGATCATGATCTGAGCCGAAGGCAGACGCTTAATGACTGAGCCACCCAGGCACCCTCCTTTTCAGTAATATTAATGTCATTGGTAATTTCTTATGTCTTCACCCTACTCTTTTTCTGGAAGTGAGGATTGTAGAGTATTTCTGCTTAAAAATTCATTATTTATATGAACTAGACCAGATTCTGAAA